GGCCTTGAACTCACAGAGATCCGCCTGCCTCTGCCTCCGAGTGCTGGGATTAAAGGCGTGTGCCACCACCGCCCGGCCAAGATGTGGTTTTGATGAAATTATTTAATAGGTCGTAGTTATAAAAAAAACACATCTCAGGTTGGAGATTTAGCTCAGTGGTAGAACACTTGCCTAGCAAGTTCAAGGCCCTGGGTTCAGTCCTCAACTCCGAAAAATTAAGAAAAAAAAAATCTCAAAATTGCAAACAGTATTGCTATCAGGCAAAACAGAGATCTGATGCCTGAAGATTTAGTTTTGCAAAAATGGCCTCACAATTTTCAGGGGCAGCTCAGATAATACATGATTCAGATCTGAATCCAGATCCACTTCTCTCCATTCCAAATTCAATGTTTCTCAGATTTTGCAATGCAAACAGTCCCATGAGGAGCTTGATAAAAATACTGATACCAGGGCTGGAAAGAGGGCTCAGCAGTTAAGAGTGTGCGCTGCACTTTGCAGAGGACTTGAGCTGGTTTTCAGCACCAACATACAGGACTCACAAACTGCCTGTTATTTCAGCTCCAAATTTAAACCCCGCTCTGGCATTTATGACACTTAACTATGGTGCGCGCGCGCACACACACACACACACACACACAATTTTTTAAAAATCTAGAAAGAAACACATATCAACCCAAGTAGATAATGAGCGGGACCCAGAAATCTGCATTTCTAACGGGTTAAAGCTGCCGACGGAGGGCTACTTTGTTCGAGAAAGCCCGGGTGGAGACTACAGTGATACTGCAAGGACACTCAAGTTCCACATCTGCACTGACGTCACGTCATAGGCTGGTAATCACTCGGTCCCCGCCCCCCCCCCCCCCCCCCCCCCGCGCGCGCACCCTGCGCAAGTCCACCTGTTTCTGTCAATCACCTCGACGTGTGCTACAAACCCCACCCCCACGTCGCGCGCCTGTGACGCAATGAACGTCTCCCCCGTGACACCCGTGACCTCCCCTTCAAATATTCCCGGCATGGAACCCTGCGCCGGCCCACGGCCGCCAGCGGCCGGTACCTGAGGAGGGCCTCCGGGCGCCCTTCTGCAGGCGCCACACCAAAGCAGCCGCTATCGCCCTCGCGCCGCTCATCGCGGTGGCAATGCAACCACGGCCCGAGCGCCCGGGCCAATCGTGCTTTCGGCTCAGGGTGATGACGCACCGGTGCGTCGGACCGGAACCAGAGGAAACGCCCCTAGACCCGGGATTCCACCCGGTTGGCTGGAAATGGCCAATGCAAGAACTCTATTGGATGTACTCTCTGTCGATCATTGTGACGTCATGAAGGGGCCTTGGCTGCTTTTATGGATGAGGATGCGCAGTTTCCCTGGAGTAGCAACCCAGGTGCACTGCCCACCGTCTTGGGAAGGCGACCCCTAATTCATGTTGGGGCCTTTGTTTCCCCCGCTTTACGAAGATTATTTTTCTCTATTTGCAGGCTCTCTACACCTAAAAATCAGTAGAAATTACGTGCTAAAACACTCCAGTGTTTGGTGTAATTGTGGGTCTGACAGTTCATTTCACAATATTTCCTATCCCTTCTCAATTTTCGTATTAAGATTTGTTTCACACATTGCTCTTCATACTTTACTGGATTATTTCTGGCCGTGTGTATTGGCGCACATTAGTGGTGAAGATGGCTGTGTATTGAGGGAAGGAAAATTTAGCAACATACGTTAACCCTTTAAAAGTAAATATCCATTAATATGACAGCTAGGGTCTAGCCAATAGAAATAAACTTGTAAGTAAGTAATGTGTATGAGGACAAAAAAATGCCTATAATGATATCCATCAGTTATTATAGGTGCCACCAGAAGCTGTGCCTTTAAGGGAGCTTCAGCTTGAACTTTGGTTATTGTATATATTTGATGCATAGCTACTGTAAAATAATTGAAGCTACTAAGCTATTCTATGTAACTATAGTGTTCAAATTAGTATACTACAGTAACTTAAGATGAACCAAGTACTCAACATTAGCGGCAGTGAGGGTGCTATAACATTCCCTTGTCATGCTCCGCTTAAATCTCGATCCCAAAACCATCACATATTCAAAGCCTTTGCCATGTGTTGCACTCCTAGATCTAAGGAGGAAAAAAAAAATGTTGAGATGTATGATGTCCTAGTTGTGGAAAAATTTTGGAAGTAAAATGTTAAAAATTGGAGCAGAGAGATGGCTCAGAGGTTAAGAGTGCTTCCTGGTCTTGCAAGGCCTGGGTTTGAGTCCCAGCATCCACACCAGGAGGCTAACAGCTGCTTGTAACTCCAGCTCTAGGGTATCAGGCACCCTCCTCTGGACTCTGCAGACACACAGGACACATACTCACTGTAGCAGAATACTATTTTAAGGCGTGTTACTTTTGTTTATGTTGCATTTGTTTAACTCTGAAGCTGTGCTGTGCTTGTCTAAAACACCTGATGGTCGAATAAAGAACTAAATGGCCAATGAATGGCAAGGCAGGAGGAAGGATAGGTGGGGTTGGCAGGCAGAGAGAATATATAGAAGAAGAAATCTGGGAGAAAAAGGAAGAGATCTAGCAGCCAGAGGAGGAGGAGGCTCCAGGGGCCAGCCACCCAGCTACACAACCAGCAAGCCATGGAGTAAGAGGAAGATTAACAGAAGTAAAAGAACGGGAAAAGCCCAGAGGCCAAAGGCAGATGAGATAAGTTAAGAAAAGCTGGCTTGGCTGGGCCGTGGTGGCGCATGCCTTTAATCCCAGCACTTGGGAGGCAGAGGCAGGCGGATCTCTGTGAGTTCAAGACCAGCCTTGTCTACAGAGTGAGTTCCAGAAAAGGCGCAAAGCTACACAAAGCAACCTTGTCTAAAAAAAAAGAAGAAGAAGAAGGAGAGAGAGAGAGAGAGAGAGAGAGAGAGAGAGAGAGAGAGAGAGAGAGAGA